GGGGCCCCAGGAACAAAGGGTCTCACTGCCCAGCAGACAGCAAAGTCCTCAGAAGGGTCGGGTCTGGAGACCAGAACACCAGGAGCTTCTGCGGGTGACGCTGCCCCCGCCCCGTGGATGGGCGCCGCCCCCTCGGCCCGAGCCCTGAGCCCGGCACGAGCTCACTGCTGCAGGAGCCTGGGGACCCAGGGCCCGGGGAGCCACTAGGCCCTGAGTTTGGATCCTAGCTCCGCCCCGACCCCTTGGGCACCTGGGAGGCTCAGTTTCCCCCTGAAAACACATCTGCTGCTTGAGGTTCCCAGCCTGGGCCCCAGGCGCGGTGAGGGTGGGGACGCGGGGCCTGTGGTGTCCCCCGAGTCCACGAGGTGGCTCGTCCTTTTGTCCTGGGCACCGTGCAAAGAGCCTCCAGGAGCAAACGTCCAGCAGCCTGCCCGGATCTCCAGCCAATAATTGCTCGACTGGACGAACGCAAGCTGAGCCTCTGCAAACAGGATAAACGGGGTAAGTGGGCCTGGTGGCCCGGAGCCAGAGGGAGCCCCGCTGGGCGGTGGGCCAGGCCGGATGGGCACGGTCCGAGGTTCAGGAAGACTCTGCCGTCCATCTGAGGCTGTTCTGTGTTAAAAGAATCACTACAACACTGCTCAGTGAGGTGGCGCACACCTGTACTCCCAGCACTCGGGAGGCTGAGGCAGGAGGATCACCGTGACTTCAAAGCCAGCCTGAGCTACATACCACACCCTGTCTCAAAAAAGTAGGAGCCGGGGATTTAGCTTAGTGGTTCTGCCGCACAAGGTCCCGAGTTCGATCCCCAGTACCGAAATTAATTAATTAAGTATTAAAAATGTGTCCTTGCTGCCCCCGCCACAGCTGTCAGTCGGAGGGAGGAGGGCGGGGCTGCCGCTGTGCCCTGCAGCTGGCCCGGATGTCCCCACGGCAGGGGGGGCAGTGAGCCGCCCTCATGGTGCTGACGGAGGATGACAGCGCAGCTGGGGTGTCGGGGACTTTCCAGGTCAGAGCACCAGCAACCTCGGCTCCCATCCCCCACTCGCTTCCTGCCCCCAGGGGCCCCTCCTCCCTCACACCCCCTCCTGAGATCGGTCCCTGTGTGGACTTGGGCCAGGCTGCTGAACCGTGACCTGTAAAGAGGTCAGTGGCAGCGGGCACAGGGGCGCACACCTGTGATCGCAGCACTTCAGAAGACTGAGGCAGGCGGTTCACAAGTTTGGGCCAGCCTGCGGAATAGGGCAAAACCCTGTCTCAAACTAAAAATAAAAAGGGGCTAGAGAGGTAGCTCGGTGGGAAGGACCTGGGTTCCATTCTCACACAGGAGATAAACCCAACAGGCTGGTTCCCTTCCCTGGCCTCAGCTCTGGGGCCCATCCCGGAACCTGGAAATCTTCCCTGTAACCCACTATGGATGGCAGGTCTGGCTTGATCAAGGTGCTGCCCACTCCAGTGGCCTTGCCTTCATTTCTTGGGGTTGTAGCGACATCTCCCTTCTGGGGACCCTGCAGAGAGCTCCTTTCCCATGGGGTTTTGTTTTCTCTGGCACATTTATCACCAACTGAAATGATCTTACTTGTGGTGAAGATTAAGAGCTTAAGATCTAGATCCGGATGGCTCAGGTGAAAACCCCAGCTCTGCTGCCTCCCGGGTGTGAAAACTGAGACAAAGAGCCTGACCCTCTGGGATTCAGTTTCCCCAACCAGCCAGGCACACAGCTCTCTCTGACCTCCCAAGAGCTGTGGCTGTTCCAGGAGGGTCAGGCAGGGACACAGACACCAGTCACACTTCCAAGTGAACAGGAGAAGCTGGGCGTCGTCATCGTGCACACCTGCCATCCCAGCACCGGGGAGGCTGAGGCAGGAGGATCGATGGGAGTTCAAGGCCAGCCTGGGCTACATGGTGAGACCCACAGTGGGTCCCCAGCCTCTCCCCAGCTTAGCAAGCTGGGCGCCGGGTTCGCACCTGGGCTCTGACCTCACTTCCTGCTCAGCAGACACCTTCGCCCTGACCAGTTCGGTCTCTGAGGCCTGAGAACATCGTGGGTGGTATTTTTCTCCGACCTGCAGGGAGGTGCAAGGCGAGGGCACCAGGTGCCAGGCCAGAGAGCAGCTTGAGAGGAGGGCATGGCCACCCTGGCTGCATCCTCACCTCAGGGGGACCTGGGAGGGCACCAGAGGCCACTCGAGTCCCATTGACAGGGGACTCCTGACCTTAGGACCTAGGAAGCCAGCAGCAGGGCCAGGCGACACCCATAACACTGGCTTTAAAGATCTGTGATGGCATAATGGGAGAATTTTTTAATTTTTTTCAAGACAGGATCTCACCGTGTAGCCCAGGCTGGCCTGGAACTCCCAGCGATCCTCCTGCCTCAGCCTCCCCAGTGCTAGGATGATAGGTGTGGGACTTGAACCTTCTACCCACGGCCACAGGGCCGTGCTGGGCACTCGGTTGGCCTCCAGATTCGAAAGCCAGCTGGGGGCAGCCCCTCTGGAAGAGGACAGTGGGGCTGGGGAGGCCCCAGCTGGAGGCTGCGGCCTGAGAAGGCCTGAGGTTGTCCGGGCTGCCTGCCAGGCCGGGCAGTGAGTCACGGCCCAGGCACGCGGAGCTGGGCCTCTCCCGCGGTGAGATCAGGCTGCTCTCCCGCCACATTCCTCCCTCGGGCGGCCCTGGTGGGCAGGGGGTGGAGACGGACAGGGCAGGGCACACACATTCCCTCCGGCAGCTGCGGTCCCAGCATCTCCCTTGGGAAACGAAGGCCATGGTGCTGGGGGCGTGGCCAGCGGGGACCCTGCAGCAGGGAGGTGACCAGAGGCGAGAGGCCGGCTTCAAAGACCCCGTTCTGCCCGCCGCCCGCTTCCTCTCCCTGGCACTAGGGTTTGTTTGCCTGGGCGCAGGGACCACCTGTCCTCCTCCAGCGCCTGGCACCTCCGTCACAGTGAGCTTCCGGCCTGTCTTGGTGGGGACAGCCACCAAGGCGACAGCAGCGACTCAGGCCCTGGCCGTGGGCCAATGCCACGCTGGCCTCGCGTGAGCTTTTGTCTCAGCCCTGACAAGGGCTGAGGCATTTCCTGTGGGCACAGGGAGGGGTGGGTGCCCCTGGCACAGGGGGGGGAAGCCAGCGAGGGCACCGAGTGTCCTATGGTGTCCGAGGGCGGCCACAGCACAGGGGGTCGCCTGGCCCTGTTTCACTAGGCCTGGGACAGGGGCTGCTCTGGCTCAAGACTGGCTCTTGGGAGGCTGACGGGACAGATCGGGGCACATAAAAGAATCCAATGGAGGCCCAGAGTGCTGGCGCACACCAGCAATCCCAGCACTGGGGAGGCTGAGGCAGGAGGGCTGCTGAGTTGAAGGCCAGCCTGGGGTACATAGGGAGACCCCAAAAAAAGAACCCCCAGTGGTGGTGTAGGTCAGTGCAGGCAGGAGGCCCTGGGTTCCGTCCTCAGCACTAAAAACAAACCAACAAAAAACCAGAATCTGTCACCCCACACTACAGTGTCAATTTTGTTGCTGTCGTTTGGGACAGCTCACTAGGTAGTCCTGACTGACCTTGAACTCTTGACCCTCCTGCCTCAGCCTCCACAGAGCTGGAATCACAGGCCTGGGCCCACTACAGCCAGCACTCTGGAGTCATTTGTAAGGCAAGATCACAGATGGGCCCGGGATTTAGCTCAGTGGTTCCAGCAGCTGCCTCACAAACACAAGGACCCGAGTTCAATCCCCGGTACCAAAAAAAAAAAAAAAAAAAAATCACAGAGGCGGACTAGCAGCCGTGCGGTCACATCAGTCCCCACAGCTCCCTACAGCCAGTCCAGGGTCTGAAGCCAAATCAGGGAGGAGAAGACACTAAGAAGCCCATTTATGTACAGACGTTTCATTTTATTATCTCTTTTTGCCTTTTGAGACGGGGTTTTGGTACATAGCCCAGGCTGGCCTCGAACTCGCGATCCTCTTGCCTCAGCCTCCTGAGTGCTAGGATGACAGGCGTGCGCCCCCACACCTGACACAAACGTTTAACTTTAACCTGTTCCCACCCCCCAGCCACTTGCCACCCTCCAGGGATTCCTGCTGTGTGGGGACCGCCCCCGCGGCTCCGGCTACCACTCAGTGTCCACCAGGCTCCAGAGGTGGTCGCTGACGAACTGTTTGGAGAGCTGGAAGCTGTCCAGGTGGACGGGCTGGGCCACGCTGGGGCCATGATGGACTGCGGCGCAGAGGTAAGGAAAACCGTGCCCTCGGCCCTTCCCACAGCCCAGGGGAAGGACCTTTCTCTCTGCATTCGCTCATCTGTGGTACCGCACTGGAGTTTAGACCCAGAACCTTCACAACGAGTTCTACCCCCACCCTTTTCATTTGGGTTTCACTAAGTCGCTAAATTGTTCATGGGATCCCCCTGCCTCAGCCTCCCAGAGGATAAGTGGGGAGCACCATCACACTTGGTTTATTTATTTCTGGTACCGGGGACCGAACTCCGGTCCTCGCGCTTGTGAGGCACGCGGTGGAACCGCTGAGCCAAATCCTCAGCCCAACACACTTGGTTTACTGATTTAGTTTTGCGGCTGGCCTGGTGTATGCTAGAATCGTGTTTTGCGACTCAGCCAAGGTCCCCTCCCTTTTAACTGAAGATATTTAGGTCATTTCAGCGACTCGGGAAGCTGAGGCAGGAGGACTGCCTGAGAGATCGTCGTCTGGGGGCGAAGCTCGGGGGCTGAGTGCGCGCTCCGCCTGCTGTGGAGCCCTCAGGGAGTGGCAGACGCGCCTCACCCAGCGGAGGCCGGCACTTTCCTCCACCTCTCCCCAGAAAAGGATACTGCCTCGGATCGCCCCGGGCTCGCACTCATAATCCCACTCTATTTTGCTAATCCGCCGATAAAGCTGAGCCACGTACCTGGACAGAGACAGGGCAAAGAGGGAGAGACCCTTGCCCGGGTGCCGCCCTGAACCCCAGCCCCGCTCCGCCCCGCGCATGTGCGCGCTCCGGAACCCACACGGCAGCGGGGATGGTGACCGTGGTGTCCTCGTCCACCTCTCTCTCCTGTCTGTCCAGTTCCGCCTCCAGATCTCTGAGCTCCTGCAGCTCCCGGCCGAGCTGGGTGCGCAGCCATTAAGGACCCCGGTTTTGGAAAGGAGGGCGCGACAGCGTCCCACGCTCTGGGCCGGGGCATCCAACTCAAACGCCTTTTCTGTTGTCTGAGCCGGGGGCTGGGTAGCCCAGGCCGGCCTCAAACTCACAGCGACACTCCTGCCTCAGCCTCCCGACTGCACCACCAGCCCGGCCTCTTTCCTTCCGTTCCCCCTGCAGGCTAGGCCAGCACGGCCCCGAAGGATATTGCAGCTGGGCCTGCAGGACCGCATCCTCCCCGCTGGCCTTCTGGAGCTCGGCCTCCAGCTGCTGCAGCTCGGTGCCACCCTGGCACACGCGCTCCTTGGTGTCGAGGACGCTCTGGGCCACCTTCTCCTCCACAGCCAGCGTCTCTGCAGGGGACAGAAGGAGGCTGCCTCGGTCCCAGGTCCCCATGGGGTGCAGGAGGGTATCAGCCTTGGCAGCATCTGAGCCTCCGATCTGCAGCCCCAGTTCCAGCACCCACCAGAAAGTGCTGGAACACGCTGGGAACTTGAGTTGCCAACACAAATTTAAATGCACCCAAAAGAATACAATCGCGCCCCCGAGAGCACCTCATCTTAAACGATAAGAATAGGTTACAAACTGGATTTGGTGGTACACACCTGGGAGGCTGAGGCAGGAGGATCTCAAGATCGAGGCCAGCCCGGGAGACTTAGTGAGACCCTGTCTCAAAGTAAAATTTAAGGGTCGGGTATTTAGCTCAGTGGTGCCGCTGCCTGCTTTGTAAGCACAGGGACCCAAGTTCGATCCTCGATACCATTTAAAAGGCTAGGGAGGGCCGGGGATTTAGCTCAGTGGTTCGGTGCCCTGCCTTGCAAGGTCAAGGACCCGAGTTCGATCCCCGGTACCAAAAATAAATAAATAAATACATAAATAAAAGGCTGGGGATATAGCTCAGGGGCAGAACACTGGCCTCAAATGCCAGAGGCCCTGGGATGGTCCCAGTATGGACACCAAAAGTGCAGCAGGAAGTCTAGAGTTCGGATTCTACATTTGCCAATCTGTTCCCCTCTCCACTGGGACGGGTGCTGTTATCCAAAGTGCAGTCACACCCTCTCAGCTGCCAGCACCCCTCTCCAGGGTCCTTAAATATTTTGGAGGGGAAGGGGGACAGGGTCTCGCCCGTGTGCTCAGGCTGGTTTCAAATTTCTGGGCTCGAGGGATCCTCCTGCCTCAGCCCACCATACCTGGCTGTCCCTTTAGAATCACTGCCCAACTACACGCTTTCTCTCCCCGCATCAGTCCTCAGAGACACCGTGGTGTGCCTGCTTCTTCCTCCCACCAGACACCTCTGAACCCCACCTTCAAGATCCCCTGGGTAGGCCGGGTGCAGCAGTGCACACCTGTAATCCAGCTACTCAGGAGGCTGAGGCAGGAGGATCTTGAGTTGGCAGCTGAGCTACCCAGTGAGACCCTGTCTCAAAATAAAAAGTAAAAAGCCAGGTGGGGTGGCGCAGGCTTGTAATCCCAGAGCTCCGGAGGCTGAGGCGGAGGGTCTTTATTGTGAGTTTTACATCACCCTCGGCTACAGACCGTCTACACAAATGAAACAAAAAAATCTCACAAAAACTAAGAAAAAAATCAGAGACGACATCGTGATTTTCCAGCAACCACTTGGAAGAGACACATATTGAACAAAACACCCAACAATATATAAAGACATCTCATGAGATACTATATTGCTTCCAATTGTTTTCCCAGGGAAAACCCGCCACCCCGAGCCAGCTGGGACGCTACCCTTGCCGAGGTGTCACACGTGAATGTTTCACCAGTCTTCCATATACGACCGATCCTGCAGTTTAAACACACACAGGCGCGCCCCTCCCTTGGCCTCTCCACCCCTCCCGCAGCCGCCCTTTCATCTTCAGCTGTTTAGTCTGGCCGGGGGCCCACAGTTCCAAGTAATTCGCTTAAGCTGTGATTTCTTATTTGTGTGACTTCCTGTTTTGATGGCTAAGGGTCGGGCTTGGCTTTCCACCTCCTGGGGGCTGGCAGGAGCCAACAGCTGCCTCCCTGGGGAGTGGTCTCTCCCGGGGCGTCCTCAACAGGCGACACTGTTCACCTGAGAGCCCAGCTTTCCCCTCCACACACATCGTCAAACACCCCCTGCAGAGTGGGGGCTTGTTTTTCGTCCTAGGAGTTGAGCCCCAGCACTGTTCCTGTTAAGCACTTGCTCTTCCACAGACCTTCACCCCCAGGAAGCAAAGAACAAGGCTAGGCTTGATGGCGCATGCCTGTTATCCCAGCCCTTGGGAGGCTGAGGCAGGAGGGTCTCCAAGAGTTCAAGGCCAGCCTGGGTTACATAGCAAGACCCTGTCTCAAAGAAACAAAACAAGCCGGGTGTGGTGGCTCATGTGTGTCATCCCAGCATTCGGGAGGCTGAGGCAGGAGGATTGCTGTGAGTTCGAGACCAGCCTGGGCTACATAGTGAGCTCCAGGGCAATCTCGACTACATAGTGAGACCCTGTCTCAAAAAAACAAAACAACCAAAACAATGTCGAATGGTGGTGGTTGCCAACGTTTGGGGAAATGTTGGTGTTTAATTGGGATCGAGATTTAGTTTGGGACAATGCAAAAGTTCAAGAGTGATGGCAGCACAACCCCATGACGGTGCTTAATGCCACTGAACTGCAGGCTTGCAAATGGCTAAAAGCTGGGCAAGGTGATGCACGCCTGTGATCATAGCTACTAAGGAGGCTGAGGCAGGAGGGTCACAGCTATGAGGCCACCCTAGGCAACTTAATGAATGCCTGTTTCAAAACGTTAGGAAAAGGTCCAGGGAGGGTCAGCCCTACAGCAGGTGCCTGGCATGGGCAAGGCTCTGGGTTCCAGGTCCACCCCCAATATGAGGACAATGATGATGATAATTTCAGTCATTTTCTTCTCCCCGTGTTGGAGATTAAACCTAGGGCCTTGTGCATGCTAGGCAAGTGCTCACCACTGAACGGCACCCCCAGCTCAGGTAAAGACATTAGCTTTTTCCCTCTTACCTTTCGGTAAGTTTTACATCCAATGGCATCTTGGAGCCAATGAAACTGGTATTATTTATTCCATATTTCCTACCTAAAGTGCGAGGCCCTTTATCCACACCAGTTTTTTATTTATTTTTGTCTTTTTCTTTTCTTTTTGGTACTGGGCGAACTCAGGTCATTGCACTTGTGAGGCAGGCGGCGGAACCACTGAGCTAAATCCACAGCCCCTTGGTTTGTTTTTTTTCAAACTGGGTCTGGCTATGTAGTCCAGGCTGGTCTGGGCTCACTATGGAGCCCAAACTGGCCTGGAGCTCGCAGGGATCCTCCTGCCTCAGCCTCTCCAGGGCAGGGATGACAGTTTGCGCCACCATCCTCGGCTCTCCTCGGGGTTTTTGCTTCAACAGTCTTTGTAGAACTCCCTGGCTGACCCTGCTTCCCAAATGTCACCAGTCCTAGTTACACAACCCATTTGTCCTCTTAGGCTCGGGGCACAGAAGTTTTTGTTCCTTTTGTCCCCTCCGTCCCCCACTAGCATATCAGCTAAGGGAAGGGATCCTGCCTGTTTTGTCCTCTGATGCCTCCCAGGGCCAGGCTCACATCACCTCTACAACCTCAGGAGGGAGGCACAGACTTATGACAGCTAAGGAAACTGAGGCACAGACAGTTAAGACCTCTAATCTCACAGTCCGGCAGTGGGGGCGCTGATTCTCAGTTCAATCCCTATGGGACTCCGACATACTCCAGCCCCCTCTCACCTCGCAGCTGCTGCTCGGCGCCATCCTGCATCTCCAGCAGCCGCTCCAGGATCTGCTCGTGGCGCCCCAGGAGCCGTCGCTGCTGCGCCTGGGCATGGTTGGTGCCCAGCAGACTCAGCAGCCCCTGGCTCACCTCCTCAATATCACGGAAAGCCGCCATGACTACGCCAAACCCGCGCAAATTTGCCTGCCCCTGGGGCCCGCCCCTGGCCACAGGACCTAGTTTTCATTGGCTTCTATTTCCGTCAGTCTCTAGAGATGGCCAATAAGTACAGGAAAGGGAAGGAGGAGTCTCAGAACGGAGGCGTCTCGAGTCTAGCCGGGTGCGCCTGCGTCACTCACCTGTCAGTCATCGTTGGTGACCAATTAGCAAGGGGAGGGGCGTATCTGGGAGGTGTGCCTGATACGCCTGCGCAGGATGGACAGCCGCCGTGCGGCCTGGACTCTGTTCCTTTCTCCCTGGGTCCAGTGTAGGGCTTTTGCAGGCTGCGGTTTTAGAGGCGATGCTGCTTCTTAAGGAGCTGATGTTTTACGTGGGACACACAACAAACATAAGTATGTCCTGTTAGCAACATGTAATCTGCAGTCAGATATATTGGCTCTCGAGCGCTGCTTTCCCACTTAGCGCCTGTGTTACCTTGGGTTAGTTACGTCACCTCTGTGTGTCTTGCTTACTTCTTCAGTAAAATAAGGGCCCAAATAGTGCCGACCTCAGGGTTGGCGCACAGAGTAAATGAGAATGGTGCCTGCTCTTCAGTTAAGCGTTACACAGGTGTCAAAACACGGTGCAGCACTCTGGGAAGCTGAGGCAGGCGGATTGCTGCGCATTTGAGGCCAGCCTTGGCTACACAGTAAGTTCAAAGCCAGCCTCAACTACAAGTGAGACCCTGTCTCAAAAAAAAAAAAAAAAGTGGATCCAGTTTCTGGCTGGGCAGTTTACCTTTGACCTTGGTAGGCTCTTAACCTTTCCTTCTCGGCCCTGGAGCTAAAGATAGCCCTCTTATCAGCGGGGCTCGGTGCCCGAAAGATAAGCCCTGGAATGGTGCAAGAGCCTGGCCGACGTCCCCGCTCCGGTTAAGAGAGGCCACCGGCCTCCCTCCCACAAAAGCAGCAAGACCGAGGTGCACCTCACCGGGAAGGCGCCTGCTCAACACAAACGGGCCAACCACCCCCAAACCCAGAAAGGGACGCGCTGGGCGGGGCGTGGAGAAACCAAAGACCTTGTGCAATGTCGATGGGGTTTAAAAGTGGTTTCTGCTGCTCCAGAAACTCTGTTCCTATCAGAGGTCCTTCTGTTTGTTCCTTTCTTTTTTGTAACCTGTTCGCCTTTGCAGTACGCGGTGAGGACATTCCTCGGGGGCTTTGGTTTGAGAACGCAACAGCTCTTTTTCTTTCATCGCCTTCTCTCCTTCTTCTCTCCCTCCATCTCGTCACCCTTTTTCTTTTCCTTTTTTTTCTGATACCAGGGATCAAACTCAGGTCCTTGCGTTTGTGAGGCAGGCGGCAGAGCCGCTAAATCCCTGGCCCTTTTTTATTTTTATAAAACAGGGTCTCACTATGTAGTCCAGGCTGTCCTCAGGCTTGTGGCAACCCTCCTGCCTCAGCCTTTCAATGCTGGGATCAGAAGCAGGCACCAGCCACACCCTACTGAGTCCCCTTCCACTTTGTTTAGTATCTGCAGTGTTCTCTGTCCCAGGATCATGTTTGTTTGTTTTTGGTACCAGGGATCATCCACTGAGCCAAATCCCTGCCCCACAGGACCGTATGTTAAAGAGAGTTTTAGGGGCAAGGAATGAAACCGGAACTTGTTCTGTTCACTCCACACACTGACCTGTCGTTGAGGGGAACACTGCACCCCTTAAGGAAATTGAACAGTCGTGAATTATAACAAAGAAATAGAGGTTGGATACAGTGGTTCGCACCTGTAAAACCAGCACTTGGGAGGCTGAGGCAGGAGGACAGCATGCTGGGACCAGCCTAGGCGACTTAGCCGGATTCTGTCTCAAAGTAAAACAGGGCTGGTGTTGTAGCCGGGGTAAAGTTGCTGAAGTCACTGTCGGTCGTCCTTGTCAGATTCAGAGACAGGAAATGGAGTGGCAGATGCCAGGGGCTGGGGTTGGAGGACAGGGTTCATGTTCAGCGGGGAAAGAGTTTCAGTTTTGCGGGGTGAAAAGAGTTCTGGCAGAAGCTGCAACGAATAGGCATTGCTGAAAAGTGGCCAGGGGACCTGGGGGTGGAGCCCAGGGTGGGGCTGGGATTACAGCCCTACACTGGGAAGATGGTGAAATTCATGGTAATGTGGACTTTTCACACACGTATACCTACAATTTAAAATAGAGCCTTAGCCGGGCATGGTGGTGCACCCCTGTAATCCCAGCACTCGGGAGGCTGAGGCAGGAGGATCGCTGTGAGTTCGAGACCAACCTGGGCTACATAGTGAGTTCCAGGTCAGTCTCAACTACATAGTGAGACCCTGTCTC